AACAATCGCTCGTTACAACAATTAATAAATAGCAATGAAATTATTGATTTCTTCCGGCAGCGCTCACAGTCGAAGTCGCCGCCCGTTCGGATCACTCGATCTTCAATCTTTTGTACTATCGTTTCGTCCGCTTTTTTCCCGTTCTTTTGTTTATTTTTTTTCTTTTCATTTTTGTTGTTGTTGTTATTGTTGTTGTTATTGTTGTCGTTTTGTCGTTTTTTCGAAAGTGTTAGCCGGAAGCAAGAATGGCCGTTTGCTACGCTCCCACCCGAGGGATCTCGCACTCGGATGCCTACCGCGTGTACCGATGCATCGTTTCGCTCATACTATCAGGATCGATCCCCTCGAAACAGCGATTCCAAAAGGAAGATTCACGGTACTAGAGTCGGTTTTAGCTGTATTACTTATTTCTTTGTTTTCTTTGTTTTCTTTGTTTTCTTTCGTTTCTATCTCGTAGCGTACAACACGAAGGTAAAACAACGAATAGACACGGTGCAACGGATACTAAAATTCCCAATAAAATATTCAAGGAGAAACGTGATACATTATGTAACAGGTAACAGATTATATTTGGTAGTGAACATATTTTTTGGCAGTATGATTTCGGTAGTGAACGTATAAGCGTAATCTGGACAACAATGAAAGAGGATGCGGTTTCCTCGCGACATTCGGTCAGTGTCGAAGATTCTCGTGACGCAGCCCCAATTCGAAGTCGTGCTACCAGCGAGCCGTGGATCCGGATATGCAAAGGGGCGGCGACCACCGCGTAAACGCTGTCTTTCGAAAAACGAACAAGCTCTCGGGACAACCAGTTTTGTTTCTCTAAATACAAGCCACAAGGACGAGAGATCAGGGAGCAAATATTCTATAGCTCGTCTCGACGAACCACGTGAGTGGGTAACGCGAGCGGTCGTCGTTTCGGAAATGAAGAGGACATAGATACACACACAGAATAATAGAACCGGTGCGGCGGTTGATCGCGTCTCCTCGCGCGAAAACTTGCATCTCACGCATATATCGATGGAATGACGTCGCGTAGAAAAATTTCGAAAAATGTCAAATGAATTCCGTTCTCGAAGATACTTCGAATTCCCACGAACCGATCTAAACGAGGCAATCGAGTAATTAATTCGATAATAGGTCCGACAACTATAAGTTACTGCTGATATAGAATATGATTCCTCTGATCTCCAGACTGTATGATACAACCTATCGACTATACGATTGCGTGGACTAGCACTAGATATTATCATGCGGTACAATATAATCATAAATACATATTTCCATACGATGTCGTACGGTTATCGCTAGGCTGATTTATCTTTTCCCGTGCAGTCTGCGCGCTGTTTCTCGACAAATCGAAATCCAACCAAACTTCGTTTACTCCCACAGGCTGTTATTTCCTATTGATTCTCTCGCGCTCGCGCGAGCCTCTGCTCGTTCACTAATGGCTAGTGGCGGTAATAATTACGATATTAATTAGTTCCCACTGAATTCGATAAAATTCGTCGATTCGAAAATTCGCCGCGTTCAGAAGTTGAGCAATTTGTTAGAAAGAAAGGTAAAGAGAGAACACAGATTAAAAATATAATCATTGCTTTCGTTCGCCTATTACCGATGATCGTTCGGCGACGGGGAACGGTTGCCGCGTCCGCGAACGATTCTCGCACGAAAATTTGATTCCGAATTTCCGTTTTAACGACGTTATTCCGCTCGATTCGAGAAGAAATCAATTCGCAACCCAGGTATATACCCAGTTCGCTCTAGGCTGCCACCATTTGATCACGCTCGCCGAATTCTCCGCGATGCCGGCGACCCATCTGTCCCCCGACTCGCGGAACTCGGAAATCAAATCGAAAAGAAGGTTCGTTTCGTGTTAATCCGAAAGGAAGCATTCGCGCACGATCGTCTAGCGAATTTCATCGATTCTAACGAGACCAATTCTCCTTCGTCGTCGTCGTCGTCGTCATCATCATCGTCGTCGTCATCATCGTCGTCGTCGTCGTCGTCGTCTTCGTCCATGAAACAAGAGATCAGCGTGTCGCGAACCGAATTAAGGGAGTTACGGGGTTTCCAATCAAAAGTTCCACCGCAGAAATCCACGGAATCCGTCGAATCGCTTCGAAACGAACCTCGCTCGATCGCCCTCGTTCACTCTGCCTCGCGACGCTGCAGCAGCGTGTCGATCGAACGCACCAATACGCGAGGCGGCGAGTCCCTGTCCCATTCCCACCGTCTTGTGAATTTCGATTCTTCGGGCGTTCCTGAAACGTTCCAGCCCGAGACGGCGGAACTTTCGATCAAGATTCGCCGAGAGCCGCGACCGAGAGCTTCTTCGTGGAAGTCGAAATCAAAAGTTCCACCGTGCCGGGTGCACCGAACCGACGGGCGTAAAGACACTAATTTTATTTCTTTTTTGCCTTTTTTCGTTTCGTTAAGTACGTCTACGTGGCACGAACTAAGAGTATCAATTATCCTCGGTGTACCCTACACGTTAGCGGCCTCGCCGGCTAGGACGAGTACCAACGAGTTCGAGATGAAAAGAACGAGAAAGAGAAACCGGTGAACGGAAAAACGCGTCGCGCGCGCGCGCGCGCGCGGCCCGGGCCGTTCCGTCGCGTCGGCGACGCGTCGCGACAGGGCCGGCGAACGGGGCCGGCGAACGGGAAACGTAATCGTGAACGTCGAAAAAGGAAGTTGTACACGAAAAGCGAAAAACTCGCGAAAAACGGGGCAAAACAGTAAGGTGAACCTCTTACGCGCATCCAAACGGATACCCCGAACGATTACTTAGATCCTGACAGTACGACCACTCCCCTTCGCCCCCGATAGAAAGAAGAGATACCGCCACTCGTTTTGTGCAGAATTTTTCCGCTGAACTGTGTTTTGGTTTTGTGCATCCCTATGCGCATACGTATGCGTACGCCGTAACGTGTCCTGTGTCTACAGCTTGTATATAGCCAATTTTTACACGGATCCGTTCTACCCGTTCTGTGATAAACCATTTGCCGTGAAAGCGTCGATCGATAAGAGAACTCCGTATCTGTGTATTCGTTTTCTTTTTCTTTTTCATGTCTTTGTGTCGATGTACATGTATGTGTGAGTGTATGCGTGTGTGTTCTTCTGCGTATGAATCTGTATACATGTGTATATATACATATATACACACATACACGTTTTCCTTTTTCCTTCGGTATGCGCGTGTTCGTGTGTGCACGTAAGTGTGGTCTCATTATTTCGTATGCGTGTACACTTGTCTCTGTGTTTGCGTATGCGTGTATGTGCGCCTCTGTGAGAGAGAAATGAAGACGAATAACGATTTCCCTTGAATGGTAGTAAGAAGCGCGCGATTAATGAGTTAACAATGCCTCAAAGATCACAATGAAGAGAATCAGTACGAAGATGAGGATGAGTGAATATGAGTATGAGCGCCTGACGGATCTACGGTTAATATACGACGAGAAGAAACGCGGCTTTGGGGCGGTATCGTCGGCAGAGATAACCGGAGGAAAGAAGGAGTGGTCACGATCCGCCAGCGAGATTGATTAAAAAAGAAATTTGTCTTATTCTCCTTCCCTCCTACATATTTCTTGGACGCAGTTGGTAGTGGTCTTGCAAAAGGTGGCAAGTGCTGCGCTTAATCCACCATTAGCTCGAAGTGTACGGAGCCGCGCCTCTCGAATCTGTCGTGGATGATGTTGTGCGCCCAGGCCTTGCACTCGATGTTGATCAGCACACCATCTGAAAATTGTTGCTTTCGTTACGGACTTGTGTTTTTTGTAACACACTTTTATTAAATCCTTCGAACCCGACGCACATTATAATGTACACTGTTTTACTATTTCAATATCTGACAAAATATTAAAACTCTTAGAGGCAACCATATGTGCACCTTTACTTTGGACCTATCTCTATCAGAAAACTAGTATACTATCACTATATTATTCGAAATCATGTCGTTACTGACAATGCATTGAATGATGGTCCATTGTTGTTAAAAAAGCGAACATAATTTTGTGTAAAAATCAGGTCTGAAGGGGTCAACTCTGGGCAATAATTATAGCGACCGATATCTCACTCGCGTTGCATCCTCGAGTCTCACTCGTGACATTCGTGTTTGGTCCAAAATTGTGATCATGAGTGAAACTTGTCAAAATAGCTCAAAGGGATTAATGTAGTATTGTAAAAATGGAGGATATTGTAAAATCGAAATTTGGTACCTGTAGTCGCGACTCGAAGCTCAAACCTTGAGCTTTAAAAGCTAAACACTTTAACACTCGAGTTGGAAGATTCGAAGCTGTCTGTTGTTATATTAACACCGCCAAGCTGAAGCCTAGGCAATTTGAGATGCCTTGAAGACTGATCTTTAAGTTTGAAATTTTCAGTGGGGCGTTTATATATGATAGCAACTTCGAAGTATAACGACTCGATCGTTGAAGGCTCCCAAAATACAGTTCGAATTTTCAAAGCTTCAAGGCTGAGTGTTGAATTCGTGGACTCGAGCGTTCTAGAACACTAGGTTAATGTAACTTCTAATGTGCTAATGCAATGTCCCTAATTGTAACTAATGTTCTCTCTACTTGTGGTTTTATGGCCCGATGTCACCAAGATGTATTTCTGAAACTACTTGAATGTCCTGATTTTCAAATATTTATAATTTCTAGCCCTCATTTATTATTTTACGCGAGTTGTACGATTGAATGTTGAAACATTTGAAAAGTTAAAATTGTACTCGTATGTATATGGCATAATTATGATGCACATTACAAATGTATTTTGCAAAAAATTGATAAAATATCTGGCAAATTACCAAGTAACAATTTTTCAGAAAAGTCTAATTTACTAATCAATATTACAAATTTGTTTGTAGATGTAGATAGATAGTAGATAGTAGATAGATAGGAAGATAGATGAAGAAGATAGATAGAAAAACATGAAGAATACGTAAAATGTCGAAGAAAAGATTACGGATAGAAGAATAAAAAAATGAATAAACAGACTAAATAGAAAAAATATAATAAAGAAGATAGAATACCGAACGAGGCTTGGATCTACAGTGAAAATAATACCATAGGGTGATTGAAAGGATTCCCGAAGGAATGGGGGAAGAGTATAATAACAATGTCGATAAGCTTATTGAGTGCAGTTTACAGGCTTAGGAAAGAAGTCGCACAGAAAAGCATACTACTAAATGATACATATGTATGTACATAGGTTTCCAAAAGAACAGTAGCACATATATATATATAATTTTTTTTTAAATTGCAAACTAAACTTTTATTTCCTTTGAAAGCGCATTTGTTTAATTTCTATAATAATTTATTTTCATATAATCTCTAAAATATTCTTTTAAAGAGGATAGAAATAGAATGGCTAAAATAATTATACGATCAGACCAAAGTTACACAATGCAAGGAGAACGAGTCAACGATTACAATGAATTAAAAGTACAATGATAATTTACGGTTTTGATAAATACGAGCGTACATTTTTATAGATACAATAAATTATTGATGTAAGCAAGTTTGGAAATTGAAATGATGCTCGTTTTCTCTGTTTGAAGCTTCTATACGGCGACTATTAACTCACTCCACACGGAACACTAATTGCTCTAGTATTGTATACACATTCACTTTGACAGTTAGAATTATTAACTGTGCTAACATGAATATTTTTACATGGTCTCGTTATATACAGTTATATGAGGGCAATATGTCTTTATTTCTAGAAATATCAGTTATAATATCAATTATCACTGTATGTTTTGAACCAAGTCTAGGTTGCTAAGACTGAATAAAGAACCCCGAACAGTACTGAGCAAATATTTAAAAAGATATCACATTCGAAAACATTAGAAACTGTAAATATACTTGAATAAGTTGATAAATAAATGTTCAAATTTAGTATTTTTCATTCGTTGCAAGGAAGTAACCTTGTATCACTTTTTACAACTTTTGCTTGTAATTGCTAAATTAATGGAAGAAAGTATTAAAATGTTTTTGAAATGCAATGAATGAATTTATATCTACAGATTTTAATGAATATGCAGATTTAATATCATACAACAATTTGTTTGCAAATTTTTAAAAAATATACTTGGGACTCTGAATAGCAATTTCGAGGTAAGCATATATTATAATTCGTATGTGGCTATCGCACAATCTCCATAATTTACCCAGCATACACCTTTGTTGGTTGAGTTATTGCTCTTCAGGCAGATTTTTAATTGCTAATCACACAAAGCTGAAACCACATGTTTTTACTGTTATTTTTCGGTTAATATTATCACGAAACATCATCCTTAAATTTTTGCTGACTGACTACCAAATATTTTGTATGACAAGTAGAAATAGTAAGTGATGAATAGTCATGTTAGATAAATTGCATTCAATAGTAAACACATTTATTTAACACTATTTCTACCGAAGATGTCAAAAGACACCCTTTGAAACTTTAACTTACAATTATTTTCCAAGTTTAGTTATATATTCTGCATTGACTTTTTGGCTTTTCTAATAACGATAGGAAATGCCCAAAATTCCATTGAGGACAAATGATTAGACGGAGAATAAATAATTTTAAGTTAAAATTTCAAACGGTGTCTTTCGACACCTCCGGTAGAAATAGTGTTAAAAATCGATCTATCAGCTTCTGTAAACTTAATTATGAAAATTTAGTGAGTAAATTTGTAATGTGATTTCAAAATTAAATTTCACTTCAGGCAAAATTAAAATTACTTGCGTGTTGGGCATATAAATAATTTCGTTTATCATAAAAGAAATGTAATAAATGAGTCGTCTATATTTGAATAAAATATCAATACTTTGTAAACGGTCGTTATTTTGGGTTTTTGAACGTGCAGCGGACAAATCTAGTTATTATGCGTGTGAATTAATTTAATAATTTACGAATGTTATTGGTTCAACGGTTTTGACGACTTGGTTTTGAAAATATTATTTGTCATTTTTATAAAAAGTATTAATATCGACATAAATATTTTATCGATAAAAACACAGAATAAAAAGGCAAAATAATGTGTAAAGATGGTTTTTAAAGTGATAAATACTTTACTTAATTGCTTAAAACAAGATTGTACAAATCCATAATCCGTTTAATAATTAAATTATATATGTCAATTCTTGAAATATAAATGAAGTTGAATATTGCAGCACCGTTCGTTCATTTAAAAATAAATTTAATTATCATACTAGTAATATATCATGTTAGTATAAATTTGATTTTTTTATAAAAAAAATACTGGTAGTTGTTATTCAGATCGAATACATTATTAACAGTGATAATTTATTATCATTCATTAAGTGTATTTTAAACTACTGTTACTTTTTCACAAGTTGTTAATTATCAACAAATTATTATCTGAAGGATGAAAGTAATTACATGTTTCATTCCCGTTTGTCTACAATTATGTGTATATATTTTCCCACTTCTTTATAAAAAAAATTTATAGTCGAACAGCATTTATTAATATGAAAAATTATTTCTACCAGTGTTAAAAGTACACACAAATAATCAAGAGGAATTTATGTAGTTTCACAGATTGTCTAATGGCACGAAAAGTTTGAAGGATGATCTAAATATGATAAAAAGAAAATCCTACCAAGGTCATCTTGGAAACCATTCTAAGCTCATTAAGGTATTAGTTTGTTGCATGTTAACACCTTCCTTTGTGCAACGTTATAGCTATCACATTGTGATTTTATCTTCTTAAAGAAACTTTGAATAGTAAAACATTTTATGAGAAGCTCTGTAATCTGCTACTTGTAATGTATTGTAATACTAAAGTAAAATTGCTTATTGAATCAATTTGAGAATAATTTAGACAAACTATTAAATACAACCGGCAAAACTTTCATTTTTGCACTACAAATTTTTTTGTTTTTATTGTTATTAATTGAATCATTCCTCCGATTTTAATTGGTTTCTTCAGTAGAATTTCTAGTTTTGTATTTTAATTTGATTATTAGAGAATATTTGATAACATACTACAAAATTCGAATGAAATTATCATATTTTCAGTTATTTTTCTTTTGTTTTAAACTGCGTAACCATAGTATACGATTAAAAAGTAAATATTATATTCTGATAAAGTAAAAAACATTTTTAAGTTAATATATTTGATTCTTAATGTGCTCTCCTATAAATTATTAAATAAGAAAATACAGGTTAGGAAAAAGCGTATGCAATCAGTTTTACAAAGTAGTAAACACTTCGTAAATTACAAAATTTTTAAACCCCTCCTACCCCCCGTTTTACCACTACAATATAAAGAGAGGAGACTAATATTTATTAAAAGAAACAAATTCACAAAAGAATGTATAATATAGACAGACCAAACGATTTTAAATTTTACTGGTGTGATTTCAGCAAAGCAGACAATAATGCTATAAATAAAAACGCATCTGGAGTAGTATAATATGTAGAATTTTTGGAGGCACCTCTCATTCCGATTATTCAACATTCAAAACTAATCACAGGATGGCTTCAAAGAAGAAAGTTAATAAAGTTAATGTTCTCCAGAAATATATTTATATTTCATTAATAGAAATATTATTTTGTATGATGTACGTAAAGTCAAAATAATTTGCAACATTTGTAACTTCTGAAAATAATATTAGATAAGTTTGTAGTGTTACAGGTCTATCATGTTGACATGCAAATTTTGCACCTAATAAATATATATTTTATTTTATATAAAGTTACGTATCAATGTCATGTAGAACTAAGGAATTTTCACTGATCGTATTTACTCGAGACCAAACAACATCATATTAAATACCTTGTTCTAACATTGTTAGAAACTATCTATGAAAGAAAGGTCCTTACGCTAACAGGTGAATTTTTTCACCGAAAATGTGTTATAAAGTAACTACTTCAAACAAACAGACATATTTTTTGTGAAGTCATATTTTACATATCAACGACGATCCACTTGGATCGACTTTCGCCCAGACTTGTAAAGACCTCATTGTATTTTTCACCTATCTACAACTACCTTATATTTCCAACTGATTATCAGACTAAATAACAAGATTGACATATATTTTGGAAATACGTTTGAAAGAATACCTAAAAAAATTGATAATTTGTATGGTTCAAGATATCACCGCTCATCAGGTCGTCAAAAATGTCCTACCTCTAAGGGTTAACACGTTCACTGTCCAGAAATCGTAGGTGATCATTCGACAAAAAACTTGTTCGTGTATCGTACGTGATTCAAATGCACATTTCTATGCAACTAGAGCATGAAGTGGACGCCTAGTTCCGGTAAACTAAACCTTTGCGATCGTATTAATTTTATACAAATTCAATACAATAATAGATCTTTACTTCACATACATTATTTTAATAACAAGTATTTGAATCCTTTCAATTTTAATTATAATTTATAATTTTATATTTTCATTATTTTCATTTTATATGACCAGAAGGGTGGAAGAGTTGAGTCGGGCACAGTTCGCCTTACGACCGCAAAGGGTTAACAATTCACTGAACGCGAGAGAACGACACAATATGTTCAAGTACTTTACTGCGATATTGTAACAAAATTTTACTGTTTTTCAATGAACATGTAATGTGTAATGGGTCATTAGGCCTAGACAGAGAACGTGTTAACACTTTAGCTGCCGGAATCTGAAAAATCGGATTTTCAATGCATATAGTTGTCGACCGGAATTTTTTTGCATATCGAATAAACTAACATTGTGCAAATAATGTTATTGTTCGCATGTTGGTTGACCGTATAACAAGTTCTTCATAAGTACCAAATGTGTTGCAGTTATTTCCTGCTATAATGAATCAAAATAATACGTCGCTAGTATTAGCAACGTGTTTTTATTCCAGTACGTCGGTAGGTAAAGTGTTAACACTAGAACTACCGAACATTTAATACGATTATATGTAATTCCTATAAAAATTGTAACAATAGATTTTTTTCGGTTTCTTCGTATATTCGTTATAGTATTCAAGTGAAACTATATTTTTAAAATCATTCTGGATATTAAACTTTTGCAGTCGAATGCTGTCGTAATAACGATGCCGAACTTCGATATTTAAAATCAAAAGCCCCAAATGAATGATTTAATTATTCAAATAACGAGAGACTGCCATGTGGTTTTCCTTCTTTCGGTACTTAAGACTTTGATGCATGATTCAGTTGTTTATGGAAAGAAATATTAAAAGTTTAAGACAGTCTTGTCCGCAAAGAGTTAACACGTTTGAGATATCGACAACTGTGAAATAAGAAAAACGAGACCTGTCATCTTGACAGGTGTGATAGGTCTAGTGTTACCAGGTTTAGTGCCGCGTGTACCACATATGGTACATGGTAATTTTTGCAAGAAAATATTTTGTCGAGGCACGTGGCCACAGATAGCATACACCTTACAAAGCAGTGGAAACGTAAGGAAATGATATTAAAATATACAAAAGTTATCAAAAACTTCAATATAACTCAATATATTATTTAAAAAATTGTTAGACTTTATAAGCAAAATATAACTGAAATTTACGGTGGTATGGAAGGTATTAACACTAAAACTACCAGACGGCTCAAAATGACCTATCCCTGATTTCTTGCTTTTGCAATTATTAAAAAGATAACAGATGTTTCTCTGAGAAATTATTAGAGAAATTGATGTAGCAACGCGCAAACTGAATTGAAAATCAAGTGAAGCCTGAATAGATGCACTGTTGGAGTTTCTATGCAGGAATTTCAAAAAGTCAATGTAATGTAGAAAATGTAATATAGTTTTAGTGGTAAGAAACAAGGCAAACGGTAAATTTTCATCGTGAACAGAACAAGTGAGTTTTCTTACATTTAGGTTTTTCGAAGAAAACAGCTACGAGAGGGCTCAGGTATCCTGGGGTGTTTGTGAAGGGGAAGTAGTAGCCAGGGAAGCCACGGCGTGGAATGTATTGAATTGCTCCCATATTCTCAATATCAGCTGGGTTTTCGCCAGCGCACGATACCCAAACGGTATCCAACCTATTCGCGGTTTCCTCCTGCTTGATGTGTTCCCGAAGATCGGCTGGCATAGTGCTTGGCAGCGCTTTCGTATCGTTATAGAATTCTGGCATCCAGCCGAAAATCTGCAATTAGAATTACTGATATGCACCATAACTTCCTGTTGTTTGCTCAACTTAAGATTAGACCCGAACGCAACAACAATGGCGTCACGCCTGAGTGTCAGATTGTCCTTTATTATAATATTTGGAACTACTTTCTGTAACTTCACTGAAATATGACTTTTTGGTTGCAATGTTGTGACGTCCATTTGTTAAGACAATTTTCGAACAATCATTAACTGCTTGCTTTATAATATCGAGACAGGCTTTCCTTCTCACGCTGAGATTAGATATTGGGTTGATGCAAAAGTTTTGAAGTTTCGAGTTTTTAGATTTAGTTCAGTAGCTCAACTGTTCGCTGACTAAACCAAAACTGAGTAAAAACGAAGAAAGAAGTGTCCCCTATAGACGTTATAATAGTATGAAAACAGATGTTATTTGTTTCAAAGAAAACAATTTTTTTGTTAACCATGTACAAAAAACTTCAAAATGTTTGCATCAATCCAATATTTTGTTTCTGTTACCAATGTTCTGACGTTTAAAATTACTGTAGATTATTAAGAAGTTATTACAGAAATCATAGAGTAAGAGGATAATAATACCTCATTGTTACAATAGAACTCCATTTGTCTTAACCTATAGGTGTACAACATGATATTATTAAGTGAGTGATTAACACTAGACTATAGAACGGATCAGAATGATCCACTCCTGATTTTTTCTTTTTGCGATTATTAAAAACATAGTAGATGCTTCTCTGAAAAGTTATTAACCTCTTCAGGGCCGAATTCCTTTTGAGAGCAGACAAAGATGATTTTAATTTCCGTCTGACTA